CCCCCGGCCCTCCACCGGGGGCAGGAGGGGGCCTGCTCCCGCCTCCTGGGGAAAAACTCAACTCCATCACTGAGCAGCCCGTATCAGGATCATCGCTTACCTGGTGTTTAGCGGGGTGTGCGGCCTGAGGGGGCTGTGACGCCTGCCGGCGGCCTCCTCCACGCCGTGGCCCGGATGAAGGCTGCTGCTGGGGCGGGGCGGGAGGCAGGGGAGCCGCGGGGGGGCGTCCTCGGCGGCGAGCAGCGGGAGGCATCTGTGCCGACGACTGGGTGGAGGCAGCAGCTGGTCGTCGGGGCAGAACATGTTTGATTACCTCCGTCTGCTCCTGGGCAGTGGAGACTGCTGGGCAAGAGTTCTCGACTGCACCGCCAAAAAAGGCCAACCTGGGAGAGAAGGGCGTCGAGCAGACGAATCCGCTCAGCGCTCCGAGTGTCTGCCAGGTTGACGCTCCTGGACCACACTAGTGGCCATCACCTGACCAACGGCGCGAGCGGCCACTTTCGTTGCCCTTTTGGAGAGCAAGGTCAGTGGCGGACCGCAAATCTTCGAATGCCGTTGGATCAGTCCCGCCCTCGAGCATATCTCTGAGCATCTGCGCTTGCACAGTGCTCATCGCATGCAAAGCGGAGGCCGCCCGTCCCGCCGCTCTATAGGAACGCGCCGCCATGGCAGACGAGAACCTACAGGCTTTGGATGGGTGCCTAGGAGGACCACGGAGGAGGCGCTCTGTGGACACAGCTGTATCGCAACAGAACGCTCCAGCGGGGGCATCCCAGTGCACCCACGGGCGGCCCCACCATCGAGGGGGGAAAGGCGGGGGAGAGATCGCGCTCTCGAGTGGACAGAGGAGTCCCCCAAGAGCGCGATAACTCCGCATGCAGCTCGGGGAAAAAAAGGCAATGGAGTTGGCCGTGGCCTCGCGGCAGCAGCTTTGTCCAAAAACCAATTATCCCTCCGTGAGAGATCGGGGGAGAATGGAGGATGCCACTCTAACCCAATACTCCCAGCGGCTTGAGACAGCATGCCGTCAGCTCGGGATCCGACACGGGCAGCGCTGGCTCTCCCGAAGGGGGCAGTGCAGCCGCATCCTCATCTCCCGAGGACTGTAGCCCGCCTAGTGATGCTGCGATCGACATCACATCATCATCTGGAGCGCTGCTCGAAGCAGCCGGTACCACTGAAGAGGCAGCCGACTGAATCGAACTAACGCTCGCTGGCTCACGCACTGAGGCGGGAGGTGTGGCCCGAGAAATCGTCGGGGCTTTATGCCACACCGTCACCGTTAATTCGCCGGGTCCCCGGTCGACGGGCCCCCTTTCGTGAAGGAAGCCGATCGAGTAAGGGGGACCGGGGCTCTCACTCTAGTGAGATTTTTTTTTTTTTTTTTTTTTTTTTATATATAAAAATATATATTTTATATATAAAATATATATATATCTTTTTATATATATATATATTTTATTTTTTTTTTTAACCTCAGTGTGGAGATGGTCATGTCCCCATAGCAGGAACATGAGTCATCCACGAACGCTGCTGCTGCATGCTGAATGCCCAGGCATACAGAGCAGCGATCGCGACCATCAGATGACGACAGAAATCGACCGCATCCAGAAGAACACGGGCGAACCGTCTTTAAAAAGACGTGCCGCGTGTAGCTCTTTTACAGAGAGGAGGAAATTCACTCTTTCAGCGCTGAGGCGACCAGGGAGAAGCGCAAAGTCTGGCAGACCACTGCACAGATCGCAGGCAATGCAGAAACTCGCTGGGTACCGCCGTCACACCAACACTGAAGAGGACGCTCGTCTCGAAGAGTCTTGTAATAGCTTTCAGGAGTGAAGAGGTTCTCTTGGCTCCGAAGCGAAAACATACTGCGGTTGCGTTCACTTCCTCCTTTTATACTCACGGAGTAGGGCGGAGTACGCTATGCAAATTTCCGCAGCCCCAAGGCATTGCATGCCATTGGCTCGTTTTCAAATACTCGAAGAGGATTGGCTTTCTATGCGAAACCCCCAATCTCCGTCACTTCTGACGTAACTCGAAGTGACTACGAAAGGGAACTGAGTAAAGTGCAATAGGAAAAATATGTAATACTAACAAGTCCATGTCTAGTAGTGTACACTCACGTGTACACATCTATTATAAATGATTGTTATAAATATTATAAATATTGTATTGTTTTCTTAAAAACTGACACAGTTTTTAACTGACACAGGGTGGTCCACACAAGTTTGCATTAAGGTATACAATTTATGTAAATCAATTACGTCAAATGCGTAATTTATGTGTGCATATAGACCATTGTATTAATTAATCTTTGTTAATGTTATAGTTAATAAAAATACAGCTGTTCACAGCTGTTGCATTAACTAATGTTAACCAATAAAACTTTTGATTTTAATAATGTTTTAGTAAATGTTGAAATTAATATTAACAAAGATTAAAAAATGCTGTAGAAGTATTGTTAATTCTTAGTTCATGTTAACTAATGTTAACTAATTAGCCTTATTGTTAAGTGTTTCCCAAAAACCTTTACAGTACAACAATATACATTTTTTTAATATAAAATCTGAATAAAAATAAATAAATTTGAGACCATACCCTGACTCTAACACATCCTCAACAAACAGCTTTAACAATTCAATAATAACAATAACTCACTTGGTATGGAAGTGCAAAAAAAGGGCTACATTCAATGAATGTCTAAACAATGAAAAAGCAATGTGTCTGACACACATGTACATTAGAAATGAATAGGCTGACAGCATCTTAAAGGGATAGTTCACCCAAAAATGACATTTCTGTCAGTAATTACTCACTCTTCTGCCGTTCCAAACCCGTAAGACCTTTGTTAATCTTCGCAACACAAATCTTTTTGATGAAATATGAGAGCTTTCTGTCCCTCCAAAGACTAACGTCATTGTGACTTTTAAAGCCCAGAAAGGTACTAAAGACACCGTTAAAATAGTCCATGTGACTACAGTAGTTCAACCTAATGTTATGAAGCGACGAGCAGGGGCGCAACTACCCAGTTTCAGAGGGGTATGCAGCAACAATTTTAGCGTTTTTTTAAAAAAAAAATGTAATGTAAGTGTGCTGTGTAATAAGTGAGTAGGAAGAAATGAGAGCTAACATAAAAAAAATAAGTGCAAAATTGTCATTTTTTAACACAATGAAACTATAGCTACTCCACCTTGATGAACCCCCCCTAAGAAAACTATAAGCTCCATTGGAAAAGCAATACCAGTGTTTCTCACAGGATTTTAGGTAAAAACGGTGGTAGGTCGACCTCTATTTCTGTAGGGGGGTTCGGGGGCATGCTCCCCCGTAAGAAAATTTTGTGTTCTGTAATGTTAAATTCAGCAGTCTGGTGCACTTTGAGAGTTCAAAATTAAAAGCTCCAACCCATATTCAGGGTGCAAATTAAACAAAGAAAAATTTGAACCTCTTTTACTTACTGTCTGTCTACATTACACTACTACATAATAATAGTTATAATATTAATCCCATGATAGTAATAGCCATAAAGGCTATTGTAAAACAAATGCCCAAAAAAATAAAGTAAACTTTCATAATTAGTTTTGCACTAATTTCTATACTTGAAAGATATAAGCGCATAATAACATATTTCATGGGCCACTTTTTTTGACCAATGCATTACACCAGCACCGCCAATTAAGCAAAACACAAAACAAACAACAAACCGCCGCCGATGTATGAGTTTTGTGGGCCGTTAAGACAAATAAATTTAAAAAGGATGAAATGTATTGGCTGAAAAGCACGTCGGCCCAGCGGGAATCTCCCGGTAGTCCCGATGGCCACCGAGATATAGATAGCCTACATGCCTGGATATCACATTTTAAATCCTACCTGTTGGCTTTCAGCAATGCATGCAGTTATTTAGCTGCTGTCGCATCAATTGACATGACATCTCCTTTTCTCTCTTTCTTTTTCTATTTTTAGCCCCACAGCATTTTGTTTTATCCATCTTTTTCGACGACAACTCACTACTCGTACCTGCCCGCTCGCGATATTACCCGCCCCCCTTCTCCATGAGGGCGCCTACTGTAGCCTGGCTGTTAGTCCTCTAAAATTTTATATAACATTGAAGGAATGCAGAAATGATTTAGAAACGCACAACGGCAGCTACATATAGAAATACAATATAGCCTATATATAATTTTTTTTTTTTACCATTGCTTTGGCGCCCCCCATTGTGCTGCGCCCCTATGCGCCGCATATAGCGCATACCCACTTTTTGCGCCACTGGCGACGAGAATAGTATTTGTGTGTAAAAACTCCGCCAAATGACGACATTATTCAACAATCTCTTCTCTTCAACGTCATTCTCCTACGCTGTTGACGTAATGTAAACATTGCAGCGCTTCTGGGTTCTACATCAGAACGCAGGCTTATTATTGGCCAACGCTGGTCATGTGGGATGCTGGCCAATAATAAGCCTACATTCTGACATAGAACCCTGAACCAGTTGCGCTGTTTACACCATCTACAACAGTCTAGGAGAATGACATAGAAGAGAAGAGATTGTTGAATTGTAGTTTGGGGCGAGCAGAACGAGGCCGAGGGCCGTGAGAGAGCGGCGCTAGGCCGCTGGCGTGAATGCTGATGAGCGACACCTGTGAGACGCACCGGTCTCGTATCTCTCACGGCGGAGCAGAGGCATAAAGGAGGAGCAATGACAGTAGAGATCGAGAGAGTCCTGGATTTTTATGTTGTGTTATGTGTGGCCAGCAGTCGTCCTCGAGGGGCAGCTGGCTTATACTTTTGTTTTGTATTTGTTTTATTTTATGTTACTAAACTTGTTGAATGTTCGGCGATTCACGCCTCCTTCCCATAACAACAGAACCTTGTTACGTCGTTATTTGCAGTTTTTGGTGGGAGTTTGTTGTGTCCCAAACCAAGTGTTTTTCATGTCTTTTGTGTAATCCAAATTTAAAGCATAAGACCGACATACAAAGATGCAAATTGCATGAGGCAGGTCCTGCAGATTATTGCAATAGCTCTCAACAATGATGGCAGTGGGCAAAGTGGGCTTCTTCGTCAATGTCGTCTTCATCAACATCACAAACCTGAATGAAACCAAACAATAAAAATATTACAACAGGGAAAAGTGAAAAGGCATGATTAATTGTCAGTTATCTGCCCTGCATATATGTGTGTATTGCTCATGCATGATCAGCCAGTTGTTATCCTTTGAACAAATTGATAAGATTTAGTAAATACAAAATATTATTTTTATGTTATTTTATATAAATATCATTACAAAAAGCTCTCATGTTGATTGTAAGCAAAACCATAATCAACTCAGAATAATAATGAACAATTAAGGCTGCAGTAAACTCACCCCGTAAATTTGCTGTATAAGATCATCAAATTTCTCTACAATGCTTCTTTAAGACTTGTGACAAAACGTGGTGTGTTGCGATCCACAGCACCTTAAAAGTTACTCGGCAGTCGGCAGATCCGTGGTGACTATCCTGTCAAACTCTGCAAACACCTGCAACACAGGCACAAAAAAAGGCATGGGACAGTGTGGAAATTTTTCAATGCATGGTCAGGCCTACAGGCCAAATCTAAAACCAAACCTAAACAGAATGTGGTTTCTCATGGTGGAAAAAGGGATGTGAATAAGTTCTTACTGGTCTCTCTGTAAAAAGAGCTGGCTACTGCTCCATCTGCATCCACAATCTCACATCTTCGCATTGAGAAGGTCTGGTCCATCTTTGATGCAATCAGAGGTTCCACTTGGGTAACATTACTTAAAGGGGACATATCATGCAAAATCCACTTTTTTAGCCCTTAAATGCATTTTGTTGTATATTTGGAGTGTTTATAAGTACAGAAAAGATGAAATTATTCTCTTCACGTGATTCGTTTATATCTTTATATTCTGTTTTGGTCATATTTTTCAACCTGTTAAGATTTTTCTGTTCTTTATGACGTTTTTTGAGGAAGTGCGTCACCGTATTTGCAGCGGAACTGCCAAATAAGGACATTGACTACCGGTCCAACACTTCGAGCAATCCGCCATTATTATTTCTCGCTCCGATTTTGTAGTCCGAGCTCAATGATGCAGAAGTTACGAGAGGGCAAGTCAAAATGTTCGGTTGTTAGTGACCTGAAGCACTTCAAGGATTCCCACTTCAACAACCTCCGCCAGTATACAGAAGGGTTTGCCGATTGACTTCGTCTGAATGAGAGGTAAAGTCCTTCTATCTTTGGAGACGACAAACAGAGCATTTCGATAAGCTGTAAATATCGTTAATAAAGATAAAGTACTTTACTTTCTTAAAACACATGGTGTTCATGGTTTAGCAGTACCTCTTGCTCGAATATGTAAGGCTTGATGGACAAGTCTTCTGTTGTTGACATTTTATTAACGTGTGAATAAAAATGTTCTTTGAAGGTATCGTATATAACCGTATATCTCTAATCAAACTACAATAATGGCCGAACGTGGGGAGTTGAACCGACCGTGAACTCATCGACCTGGAGAGTGGGTGGGGTGTGACGCATCTCCTTTTTATTTAAAGGGGCCGCTTTGAAACGGGTCGCTCAAAGACGCACATCAGAAAAGGGATAGAAAAGGGGCCTGTGCATAATAATAAGGAATTCAGACCCAAGCATTGCAGTTATGTTTTATATAGACCACAACGGTATGATTTATATGTAAAAATTAATGATTTAAAAGCATGATATGTACCCTTTAACATTACTAAGTTTCTCATTTTGTTAAAAGATGGCTAATTTTATCAGCAGTGACAAAGCAGTTGAGTTTGAGTAAAGAAAATCACTATTACAGTGCTTGCATTACATTTTTAATGTACTCAATTTAAAAATAAAAGTAAAATGTGAATTCATAAATACTGTCAAAAATCATCACAAACTTAATCTCTGCATAAACTGCAGGTTAACGTTACCTTTAACTGTAAATGTGCGCCGTTTCACAATATTTGTAACCTTAATACTTTATTCACCAATGCCAACAGAGGAGAATGCATCAGTGAAAATGCATAGGTTTCAAATTTGGGAACAATAAATAGCTTTTCAGGCATTCCAGGAACTGTTATGCCTAACCATATTCTTCAAGCTCTGAATATCACAATTATTTGGTACACATTAAGGAGATCAGTAAAGATTAAGGACAGACAGTAAAAAAAAAAAAAAAAAAACATTCACACAAAAGTCGCATGCTTGATTACTCACCTTATTATCATCTCATATTATTATTCCAAAAATGTAGCGAAGCTCCAGATAAAAATGTAGGCAGTCTCCAATCTGTTAACATCTTTCCACATCTTCAAAAACTGGCGCTGAAATACACACAGAATCTATCGCACATGCTCTCACATGTGCAGCTTCTTCTTCTTCTTTGTTTTTTCGGCACATTAGGCACGCTTTAATGCACTGCTGCCTCACACTGGTTTAGTAACGTCATTGCATCCTTGATGTTACTTGCTTGTTTCAAGTAAGCGTAACTCAAATTATTGAGTAACTTGTTATTTTCACCCTGCAATTGACTGTAACTCAACAAAACCTAGTAAGAAGTACGTATTTTATATAACTGAGTAAAGTTAACTAATATATGTGAGTCAGGAACAAAACTGGATTTTACATGCCGCTCCATCTGAAAGCAGGGGAAGGCGATTTAATACTAATCAAGGAACCGGCTTTACTAAGGAGATGCGATATATCGCACAGCCCTACCTCAGAGTACATAAGTGTCTACCTACAGGGTGTAAAAATGAACACTGAAGCCAACCCGTCTCACCCCAAGACGTCATATAACTGACGTTTTGGGACGTCTTTTGACCATACGTCAATATTCGCCTTTTTAGGGCCCCCTTAAACGTCGGTAGATGAGGTTATGGGATCCTAACTCTACCCCATACCTAAACCTAACCCTAAACCTAGCCCGTCACCTAACTGACGTTAAAGGTAAAGCGTCAGTTGTATGACGGCCCGGGATCGCCATCTACCGAAGTTTAAGGGGGCCCTAAAAAGGCTGATATTGACGTATGGTCAAAATACGTCCCAAAACGTCAGTTATATGACTTTTTGGGATGAGACTGTGTTACTGAAGCAGTGTTGAAGTTAATGAGATAATTAAGTGATCAATTAAGTGATGATTGATCATTATTGAAGATACCTGATGTTAATAAGCAGAATCACTGAAGGAAAGAGAAACACAAGACTTACTTACTTTGAGCCGTTACACACGTTTAGCCTGACTTCGTCATACTCATATTGTTGTCAGAATGTGAGTCTGATACTGCTCCAGAGGGCTCTATAGTTATATATATTTTATTGCATTATAGTTGTCAATAGGATTCAACTGCACCACGCATGCTGAAAGAAGTAGCAAAATAATGAGTGTTGCTTCTTTTACTTGGTCCTCCATGAGTGAGACCAAGGAGAAACAACAACGACCACAGGGGTTTCATTGCATCCCATCTTCTTATAGCGACCATCAGAGCCAGCTGAAAAATTAAACTTTTGCCGAAGGAAGGACGGCAAAGACATCTTTCCGATCGAAAAATGCACTGATTGCAGTTCTACGTTCTCCGTCTTTTAAAATTAATGTGCTGACGATTTCTTTTACAACAGATGCAATAGCAGAATCAATACATATCTCAATTCTCCAGCTGCAATTATCTTTGAGAGAAACCAGTTCAACCCAAGAGCTCTTTGATAATGTGATAATTGCATAATAGCAGATCATCTGTCCATCATCATATAAAGCCCTGGCAATTTGATTGGCCCGAAGATTTCTGAACTGATCATAATTACTCCTCAATGGATCGAGTCCAGACCGAACTTCCCGACCCAAAAATTTTGTGGGCGGGGTTTGGGCTGGCATCTACACTACGTTATTGCATATTACACATACGTATATAGTAGGGAAATATACGGCGTCTCGGGTGCTGAAGACTTTTCCTTTCTACATTTTTCTTTGGTATTAGGTAGGTTAGTTGAAAACGGGTTAGGATTACTTTTGTTTTATTTATTTATTTGAGTTGGTACTGTCCAGTTATCCCCCCCTTTTTTTCCAGGTTTGGAATTATATATATATATATATATATATATATTGGAAATAGAGACCTTGTTGTCAGATGTTGTTTACAATGTATGTATTCAAGCGTCCTACTGCCTTTGGTATTACTTGCTTTCCAGTGTTCTTTTAGTAATTATTGTTGACAGATGAATAATGTTACCTTTCTTACTTCCTAGAATTTTAAAATTCATTAAGGGGCGTAACATCAATGGGGGCTCATCCGGGATAAATTTTCCTGGAAATTAATTAACATTTAATTAAAAAAAAGAAAAGAAAAATGTTTAATAAAATGTTTAAAAATGGGGATTTTGCTGTGTTATGTGCATTAAAAATATAACACACTTTCTATATAAAATTTGTTCTATTTATTTAAGATTAAATTAAGATCTAGGTGTACGTGATCTATAAGTGATTTATTTTAATGTCCATCTTGATCTATTTTTTATAGTTGAAATAACATTGTTTCAAGGTGCAAACCTGATGATAAATGTTAAACTTCAATGTTGACACAATGTTGGTCTGCTATCAGCGTTTTAAAAAAGTGCCTCATAGTCCAACACAACTCGTAATGGAGACCAGAATACTGTGTTCACCATGTTAAAAGCAGAGCATTAATCTAATAGCTGCAACACTTTCACTGAATTTTAAATTGGCTTTCACTAAATATCTCCCATAAATACTGTAAAACATGTCGTCTACAGTTTCATAAACAGCTTTTAATGACAAAACTGCAAAAACATGTAGATTGATAGAAACACTAAAGCATTTAATTCTCATTTAAGTAAAGAGGGACTCACCTGATATCGGTTTCTTCACCCAACTAGACTGACTACTAGGGATGCACCGATCCACATTTTTTCACTTCCGATCCGATACCTGATTTTGGATATCAGCCGATACCGATACTTTTCCGATACCAGAGCTGTGTTTACTTTAATATTATTTATCATTATTGTTGATTTTATATGATTCTGAAATAAACTCCTCTCTACAGGCAAGGATGATATGTACGTATGTATGTATGTATATTAAACAATAGATAGACAATTAAACAAAGATACACATTATACAGGCCTATACACAGTGCTTTAATTTCAGCAAGGTCTACTAACATTATTCAGGTATGGTCTAAAAAGAATTATAATAAAGTAATCAAAAGTAAAATAGCACTGCAAAGTTTATCATAGATAGATTTATGCTTATTAAAGCTGAAGTAATTCATTCAAGAGCTGTGCGATTTTCTCTTTGCCTTTTGTTGTTTGATTCTCAGTAATGTCGCAATCGTCACATTTATACTGCTGCCCCTTTAAGAACGAGTTCAGATTTCATAGTCTACTGATGCATCATATTTTCTCCCAACTATTTCCATAACTATGTTCATTTTAGACATAAATGGTTTAAGTGTCGGTCGGTTTGACATTTTTGTGCAGGCTACATTTGATCGTTTAGACGCGCATATGAAGCCAGAGTATAATTTGCTTGTCTTGTTGCGGTCTGTTTCGGATCGCGCGCTGCATTGGGAACAGCATCTCTTGCGCAAATTTTGTGCTTTTAATAGCTCTCTTTATTATTAAAAGCGTCCCGCAATTTAGCAACAGCAGAGAATGCATTTTACAACAATAACAGATCGTGCTGATTCTGTCTTAAAGTTTTAGTTTTAAAGAGAAATGACAGCGCACTGCCGCGATGGGAAGGAAGTTGGCTAGACAGAATGCGGCTATCGTTATTGTTTTTAATGGTTTTTTACCTCAATATATTCTTTCATCTTTGGAAATCAGACTAATATCACAGATCTAAAGTGTAACCAGGCTACGTTTCCTCTGTCGTCACTCATTAAGCAGGGCTGTCGTGTTGAGCGTGCTGTGGCACCGCGTGAGAGATCTCTCTCTTTCTCTTCTGGACTGCGAATTGCAAACATGCATCACAGAAAATTGTTTAATTAATACGGCTTTGCAAACATTGCATTTTGCTGTCTTGCTCTGCTGCGTGTTTCCAGTGTGAAGTATTTCCAACATAGGATTTCCACACAGCGAACATGTTGGTAGCTCAATGCTATCCTGCTAGCTGGCTGCAAACTGCGGAATGGATTTCCTGAGCGGGGGTCTGTGTGTCTCATTGAGCCCTATTTTTCACAGTCTATGATTGAGCTGCACCTCCGTTCAGGATATCCATTCCACAGTTTGCAGCCAGCTAGCAGACTAGCAGGCCTGGGGAATCCCTTTTGGAGTCATTTCAGCAGCCAACGTTAAAGCGCAGACATGGCTCATAAATATCGGATTTCTCCGCAGGTTGGATCGGAAAAATCCGATACGTGAATTACGCTGGTATCGGTCCCGATACCGATACTGGATCGGATCAGCCCCATCCCTACTGACTACACATAAATATTTGTTTCTGAAGATTATATGACAGTTTTCTGTTTATCCAGTGAGGGAAAAGAAAACATATTTTGACAACCCTTCCTCCTAAAATACAACATTCAAATTTAACATTTAAATTTAGACTGTTTAATAAACACAATGAATACAAATATTACATTTCTAAAAACATGGTAAATTTCCTTTAACGGAGATTACAAAAATTGTTTTTCTCTATCCTTAGACCTTGATATCATCTTAGACCTTTATATTTGCCATAATGCATATTTTCGTATTTGCACTCAAAAAGTGCTAAGATGACCACAGCTTCACATTCGTCTTCAATGTTTAAAGCCCAAGTTTGACCAGAGTGACCAAAATCTCATCAAACTGCTCTTCATAACTAACTTCAGCATGTCAAATATTCGTGACCGGTGTGAATAGATGAATCCATTGTTTCTACATCGTACAATGCGGTCATATTCTGAGTAGTCCACAGTTTGTTTATGCAAATATGAAATGCATGAATAGGTATAGAGCACATTTATGTAAACAAATCAATCTTTCAAATTCTGAACACATTTTAAACCAGGTTTCCCAAACAAACTAAAATATGAAGTTGTATTCTCAGTCTGATTTTTAATCAGAAAAACAAAAACAAAAATAATGAGGCAGATTCTGAAGAGATTCCTTCAAAAAGCTGAATGATTGTGTCAAATTTAACACAATAATTGTGTAAGTAATTTTAACACAAATTGTGTCATTTAAAAAAACAATAAAGCAAAAGGGGCAAATGTAAAAATATTAAGCAATGAGTAATGCATGTGCACACAAAGAACAAGATAATGTTTCAAGCTCAATGA